CAGTCTTGAATATCTGTGAGTATGCGTGCCCACTCTCTTCTTTCTCAAGTAGGCGCTGGGCCAACAGGTCTAGTAGCAGCGTTGACGACCTGCATCTCAGTTCGTATCATCGATAAAGACCCCAATCCTTGCATCGGACAGCATAGTCCTGGCATAATGGTTCGTCATACAGACACTTGTCACATCACCCGTAGTCTGACTTATAGTCGCAGGCGTCGTACGCAAGTAGCTTCAGTTCACATTTTTAGGCGAGACTAGAGATGATGTCCGAATAATCACGGGATGTATGTGTTCAAAGGGCGTTGGTTTTGATACAGTGGTGCATCCGATTTCTGCTTGCTAATGAAGGAGCGCTCCTAATACTGTCGTGAAAGTATCGGCACCGAATTGGAAACTTTAAAACGAGGGTATGTTCAGTCTCTGCTTTCGAGGCTTGGGAATGTATATATTGACTCTATGCAGCACCTCATTGCGTCCAACAGACAAAATTGGCGAGGATGGCTGGCAATTCATCATCATTTTGAGCTTCCTGACTTTGTGGAACCGTCTGGCTTGGCAGAACTGTCTAACGTTCTTTTCGACACGCAGGGCGAGGAAGGTCATGGTCTGCGCCCGGGTCTCCACTACAGGATTCGCCTGGCGGGTTCCACGAGGCATTGGAGTCGGTTCATTCAGAACTGAGCGATCAAGCGTTGCGATTGACTGCCTGCCTCGAGCAGACTTTTGGCGCCTTTTTGCTAGTACAGCAGCGCGGCGGAGAATACAAGAGAAATGCGTCAGATCATGATATTATTGCACAAGTCAAAGAACTTTCTTCTATTCCAGACCTAGAGATATTGTAGTGGCATGCATTTTCGTATTACTCAGTACATTCATAATCTAAGAGTGCCAAGCAATAACACTTCCATGCTCTCCAGTCATGAGCTACCCCATGGCTGACGGTTGCGAATTGGATGGACGAGGAATATAATCATCATGAGTTAAGTCATCGTCAGCATCATTGTGCTGTAAATGGATGTGAAGCTTGGACTAGTACAGCGAGTTAAACACTGCGGCCGCTGCCAGCTGTACTAGAGACGCTTTCGCATCGGAAACCTATATATCGTGTTACAGTGCGGTAGCAATATTACGCACATTATATAGCTATCTCTTGCCAGGTAAATCAAACCACAGAAGACGGAAAGCGCGAATGCTCAACAGCCCAGACACAATTGCCTACCATCAATTTTTTAGGTTGTGATGGTACAATATCATTGCATCGTCATAGCCTGCAATATTAATATATATATGACAACTAGTGCTAGTGCTACTTTTCACGATAAAGGCATGAATAGCTTTGACATTGAAAAATTAAATTGCGACAAATAAACATGTTTAACAACTTGTACATGATTAGGGTACGATCCCTTGTTGGCCGCGATGTCGTAATGTCGCAATGTCATCAGTAACTCCTCATTGTAATCAAAATTTGCATCCATCCATGGCTATGTACCAACAACTCGAATTTTTCGCGGTGTAGATAGCTATGTTTAGCCGGAGCAGAATTACATACTTCTATAGTTCTCACGACTACAATATCACGGACTCATGAATTTACTGATGTATGATGACTGGTAAGAATGAGTTAATACAAGCGAGACTCGATAATTCATAGATCTGCTGGCAACCATAGTCATGTTGCATCCATCCATACCATTTTCCATGAGCTATGACCTGACCGAGCCAGCACAGCGCACGTTAAGTCGATGACATACATCCTGTTATATCGTTGCGGTGCTACATAGTCTTGATCGATATTGACTGAGTACAGCAGTCACTCGCATACCAGTAGCACGTGGGCTCGTTGTCTGAATCCTCCTGTATAAATGTGGCTAGCAGGGGAGGTCATATTCTTGTAGTTCTGGTTTTGTTGTGCCTATATGCTGCAGATTCGTCTGCACACTGGCGCCGGGGCCTGGCTCATCTGGGATTGCTTAACGTCAGCAATCTTGTAACATGAGTCGCCTATTTTTTTTGGTTCCTGGAAATCAACATGTAATAAGCGGTGGTACTCACGTTCAAGTTATTTCAAGAAATTGTGATTCATTGCCTTGCGTATCACTTATGGTGGTGATACATTAACTTGAATAAGCTCCATGAGTTGATGTCTATGTTCCGACCTATACGGATGTCGATCATGAAATCCCGGTACCGGCCCGAAAGAGCCGGTTCCTGGTTTAATTCTTTTAGTCTTGGGCCTTAAGGGCTAGACGTAAGGTACACGTTTATTATTAGATTACCCCGATTTGTAAACTTCTCAATCGGTGGGTCATCAGACGCTGCACATGGTCGTGTTCCCCTTTGCCAGCCTGCCCATTTGGGAGGTGGAAAGGGATTCGAGCACGGACCGCGGGTCTGTGCACTCCCACTGACATATGCTTAAGAAGGAGGATTCCTACGTAGAACTAGAAGTACAAGTGGTTGGGGTAGCGGTAGCCCCCTGATGAGACCTTTCGCAAGGTCGAAACCACTGCTACCGATCCACTTTACTTACCTCCCTCTCTGGTCGTCGTCAGAGCCTTACCTTCGGGGACGGCTGACTGCGTCAGCCATGAAGGAGGTGGACAGCCTAGTAGGATACATAGACCGATTTCTACGCTGCCTCGTTCCTCGGCGCGCAGAAAGTTAAATTGGCTCAGCACGTGACATTCACGTGATATTTGTACGTGGGATAGTGGACGTGGTCGATGTTGAAGTATTCCGAAAATCAAGAGCCGCTCCACTGACTCCAATAAGTGTTCATTGTCTCGTTATGCGACTGTACTGTTTTGCTGGGCTACTGTTATTGCTCGCTAAACCTGTTTTATCGGACGCTTCGTCATCTGGACTCGCTCCACCAGGGCTTCAGCCTCTAATAGTCCGCGGTGATGCCCTGCTTTCCGCTGGACAATTTAACGATGCAGCGAAAGCATACACAGACGCCATCTCGCTCTCCCCTGCAGATTATTTACTGTTTTACAAGCGAGCTACAGCTTACTTCTCGTTAAGCCGTCATGCGAGCGCGCTTGATGACTTCACCAAGGTTCTGGAATTGACTGGCGGAGAATTCGACCGCGCCATTATGATGATGGCGAAGATCCATACCAAGGAAGGAGAATGGGCTCGTGCCAAGGAGTTACTTGCAGCGTATAACATGAAAGTTGCTGGCGATCAATCTGCGAACGACATGCTTAGTGATATCAAGGAGGCTGAGGCAGTAGCCTCTAAGGCTGTTAAAGCAAGACGCGCCCAGCTATGGACTGTTTGCTCAGAAGCTGCAACGCAGGCTCTACGAGTAGCCAGTCATAGTTTTGAGCTCAGGCAGACGAGAGCAGATTGTAATTTGGCCAGTGGCGACGTGCAAGGGGCTGTGGTCGACCTGACGTGAGCTCTTGTTATTCATACGTTTACACATACTTACAAGAACTCAGTCGACTGTCATATTTATCCCACCCTACCACTCTCTCTCTTATGCGTATCTTCCGCCTCTCGTACTTCCTGATTCCACCTTCACAGTCGTCCTCGCACCTTTCACCTCTCAAACAATGTCTTCATTTGGACCCCGACTCATCTTTGTGTTTACCAGCCCATAGACTCACGAAATCTCTCGATAAGGGTTTTGCCAAATTGGAGAAGCTTTTGGAGGCCGGTGATTGGAAAGGTGTTTTAAAGCATGTCGTTGGTAATGCGAAAGACTTTCCTGGCAATGGCTTTGCCCGTACTTTCGAAGACGCACTGCTTGCGAATGGGGATCCAGAGATGCTGTCACCACCTTCATCCAAGCTCCCCCTACCTACTGTTATCTCTTCAAGCCCGCGTCGCGCTCTTATCCTTCGTGGAGCATGCCGTGCCTATTTGAGGCTCAACAACGCAAAGAAGGGCGAACCTTGGTGTGACGCTCTGCTTGCGATGTCTGAAGATACCTTCCGGGCCCTGAATGATATGGGCGGCGACACCAATGTGGAAGTCGACGCGTGGGTGGTGAAGGGCGAGGCAATGCTGATTCGTGAAGAGTGGGAAGATGCAGTACGCTCTTTTGAACGGGCGTTTGAGAGCAGTGGTCGCAGCGACAGAGACGTAAGCTACCCCTCTCGATCTAAGTGCTCAGCATTCTAAATTGCCATTCAACAGGTGTTAGCACGCTTACAGAAAGCTCAACGGCTACTAAAGCAATCCAAGCAGAAGGATTACTACAAGGTTCTTGGCGTCTCCAGGGATGCAGATGCGAAAACTATCAAGAAAGCGTTGTAAGACTTGCGTTCTCTCTCGTGTTTCTTGTCAATGACTTTCCCAGCCGCAAAGCAGCTATGACAGCGCATCCTGACAAGGGAGGCTCAGAGGCAAAAATGGCAGAAGTGAATGAGGCATACGAGGTCCTGACTAATCCAGGCAAGAACATGTATAATCAACATATTTGCGCATCTTACTCATCATATCGTGTAGAACTACGACAACGCTTCGACAACGGTGATGACCCAAATGATTCTGGCTCACATGGAGGCACTCCATTCACTGGATTCGCAAGTCCGTTCGGTGGTGGCGGCGGAGAGCATCCATTTGCGCAGTTTTTCCAGCAAGCTGGGCAGCGCGGTTTCTCGTTTGGGAGAGGCCATTAATATTGACTATGACTCCTTACTATCGCAGCGTAATGTAGCTCCTCTTTGGATTGTAGCAGTATTATATACATCAATGATTCCATCTCCTTCAGATTCCAGCTACTCCCGTCCATTTCCTGATGCGTGCTTAGGATGTGACGATGATCTGCATGCTTTCTTGACTTACATATGCCATCTCTCCGATGAATTTCATGGGTATACTACAACATTTCGAATCTTCTGGGCCTATGGTATCAGTGGAGCATCGTTTACTCCAGAGTTGTCTGCTTTTGTGTAACGGCCTCATACAGTGGGCTCTGTCACTAGCGCGGCTCATACTCAACTCGTTCAAGTGCAATAAATATGTATGAATATCCTCAACGCAGCTCAAGGTCCATGTATGTAGTATTGTGGCGATTTGCCTTGCTCGTTGGTTAAATCCTATTGCTAACCGCGTCAATAAACAAGATGGCGCACGGACTTTTATCACTCACTGTATTGTTGTTCAAAGTGCTACTCCCCCAGGCCTGTGGTCGGCTGGACATTATGAACTCAAATCTGCCCCCGTCGAGTATTTGGTTGTGCGAAATGATAGGGCTGGGTATATCCGCGCTATTGATGGTAAGCGAATTTACGAATGGTTTTGACGGTGCGCCCTCCGCAATGATTTTCAGGCCGGTGGCGTTAGATAATGGGAATTGGATCTCTACTTCATCAAAAAATGGACTGAAATTCCCAAGGTCAGGGGTGGACTTTGAAACGACACATACACTTACGACCCGACCACATACAACCCTGACACAGGGTTTACAGGGTAAAATCCCAATGCACTAAACAAATACCACGCGCTCATCTGGCCGCAATCTTCATTCTGCAGTATATCAGTCAAATGGTCTGGCTGAACATTCTGCAGGTTGACATACCCCGGAGAGGCCATTGACGGAAGCGTTGTAGTTTGACTCTGCAATCTGGCGGATACGTGATTGAGATTTTGACGCAGCTCCAGCAAGGGAATATAGGTAGGGAATATGATGGGATGGCTGCAAGAATGTATTAGTGGCTTCAATACCACATGCTAGGAACGGACCTCGTTGGTATGATCATTGTGGCCTGAAGCAGACCGAAGAAATCAGTAAGAAATACCAATTCGGATCATAGTTAGAACTGACCACCATCAAAGTGCTCGTCCAAGAATTTCACAAACGTCGCGTTACCGCCTTTGCGAGTGATCAATCCCGGTGTATCGTGTATCACGTCAGATGTATAAGCCCATTTATCGCCTTCCGTCCACCCGTTATCGGGACCCGCCCATGCACCACTTGCGTTGCGTGCTTCCATAAAACCAGTAAGTGAGTTGAAGATAGTAAAGGGATTTTGCAGTGAGCGCTGTCGGAAAAACCGTTCCTCTTCGCTTTTATTGAGGAGACCTGCTAGCACAGATACGGCAAAATCGTCATCTGAATAGATGAAATGAAACAAGGTAAGGTGGTAAGTATTAGCCATATAAAGAGAGAGCAAGATCGTCACAAGAATAGTCTAGGGTTCGAGACGCTGATTCGGAATGGATGTCGTCTGCAACCCAGCCCTTCTCTTCGTAGACCGAAGTCAAGCCAGCACGAACTTCATAATCGACATTCTGTGACAATCAAAAGATCTGATGCTGCAAGGGTTGAAAAATCAAATTCTTACTTCCTGACGATCAAAGTATCTATAGACATTCGGCTTAGTTACACGTATAACAAGAGAACTTTTAAACCCACACAGTAGTTGTATCATTGACCGGAGGCACCGTTGCATCGCTATAAACAGCCTCCCACGCGGTCTCTAAATCGAACCCGGCCATGCCTTTCAAGACAGCCTCTGCAATGAGGGAATCTGCGTGAGTTGCGACCTGTGCAGGCATGTTCACTAGTCACACGGAACGGCATGTAACAGAAAACGAGGTACCATGATGTTCGTCTCTGACCACAGAAATTCGATGAGAATTCAGGATTAAGATGGGCACTAAAACCTACCAACGATGTTCTTCCACATTGGGAGTCGACCACCCTGTGAGCTGTGAATGAAAACATCTTTCATTGAACAAGTCGTAATATAATTCACCTCTTTGTAGTCCTGCAACATACTCTGTACCATACCTGGTATCCTTTCGGGCGCAAATAAAATAAGCCATGCCCATTCGGCACGAAATGTGTCCTTATGCAATACATCAGACCTCTATCATGCCTAGAGCTTGGTGCTTACCCAGTTCGAGTATCCAGTATATGATATTCCTTGATGCACGGCATCATCGTATCCTGAGTAGTACTGTCCATATTCGCTCTGCTCGTAAGGATACTAAAAGGAGATATGAGCATGGTACTTCCGCAGTGAACAAACAAAAAAAACTGCCTGCAATGTGTGAAAAAACGCGGTGTAAAAAGTTTGCAGTTGATCTTTGGAAGCACCTTTGATCTTGATCAACTCCAATTTCTCAGCCCAAGCTGATCGAGTCGCCGTCGCTGTGTCTTCTAGCGTATTCCCATCAGGTACCTCCATGTCTAAGTTCTTTCTAGCTTGCTCAACAGAAATGAATGAAACGCCGATCCTGACACTGACTTCCACCACTTCAGGTGAGAATGACACATATCCTGATAGAAGTGTGCCATTGCCGCTTGTCTGGCCATCAAAAAGAGTGTTATTTTTGGAAACGCCCCATGAGGCGAAAGGCTGGTCGAAGCGCGCGCAGAAATATCCGCTCCAATGTTTTGCAGGTGTCGAAACAGGCGCAATAATGAAGTCCTGACGCTCAGGATTGTTGCCAGAAATTTCGCGAGTGTCAGGATTAATGAATATAGAACCTTGAGGATAAGTCAGATTATGCGAGTCTGAAGACCCGAGAACGCTAGCCCGAGTAGCCTCAACAAGAACGTAAGGTTGACGGGTATCAATGAACGTGAAGCGGAGGTGTCCGACACGAGAAGCTCAATAGAACTCAGCAAATTGAAATATCTGTCGATATGGAATAGATAACGTACTAGAGCTTTGTTCGGCTAAAATTTGACCCCCTTCAATAGCATTCATGTTCACACTGTAGTAACTAGCAGTGATAACTTCGTTCTCGTGAGTGAAACTCATGCCTCGATTGTCGAATTTAGGTTGCACCTGACCGGCGCCTGGAGATATTACCACTTGACCGCTCTCACCCATCCAGATGGCTGGTTGGTGGGTTGCTTGAAAGCCATGGATTGATGTCGCAGTGTAATTATATGGAGTGACAGATACGTAGTTCTCAGATGTTTGGGCCACCCATCGTGTCATGGCAAATGGGGGCGAAGTTGACGGAATCATGCCTCCAGACCCATTTGGAGAGTCCCCACCATTGCCAATAAGCCTATCGAAACAGTATGAGTTAGACATATGGATAACAACTTGAATGTGCGAGTGGTAATGCTGACGGATTAACATTGTCCACTGCTTCACTAGGCGGAAATCTGAAGGCGTCTGGTACGTCTTTTTGTGTTGTAAGTGAAATTAGGCCACAGAGCAGAAGAAGATGTGACTGAATGCTATAGCTGCTCCTCATCTCTATGTTCGAGAATGGTAACAGACAAAATAAGTCCGTACTCAGTACATCCAGCTCGGCAACAGCCGCATGCTTACGATTACGGTCACCACCACTGAGGTACTGACCGGTTGACCGGCTAACCAACAGTCTAATAGATCTTGCGCGCGCGCTAGCTCGCTTTCCCATCAAGGCCTCTAGAAGAGCCAACACGAGAGGGAAGTGAACTGTTTTGACTGTTGGTATCTTAACATGTCACTTCCCCGCGGTAGATGCAGTTCTAAACTTATGACATCTTTTTCCAAGACTCGGAAAACGGACATCCTTGCACAGCCATTCTTGGCAAAACATTAAATCAAGCGGCCCATCGTGCCCTCTGAGTACCAACAAAAACAGATCACGGTCTTCCTGACGCTCCGACTTGAAGTGAATGGATTTTTCCAAGGCCGCAAGGACTCCGTGTAATTGGAAGTTGAGTAGTCCCTGTAACACCATGATTACTCTCAAATTCTAATGCGGAACTGCGTTTATTATCACTACTTGGTATCAAGAGTGATGTCTATTTGTTTGATGAATCGGGTGCTATCGATAATGTCTAAACTGCTATACGATTGTCCCGCGATATGTTTGTGCTGACCTCAGTACCTTAACCATGTAGGGGGAAAGATTACCATCTGATGAGCAAATATCTCGCATCACACGGTCCAATGGCAATCCCAAAATACCTTATGGAAAACACGACTCTGGGTATTCCTGCTATCATCATGCGTTCGACAACCCCGTGGCCCCAGCGGGCGGAGTTACCGATATGCCATAACCTACGATGCATATCTGTCGGTCTGTCGATTACACTTGACAATGTCCGTCTCTCGCGCGGATACGTGGCCAAAATGTGAGTTGCGCACTTACACCAATATCGGTCTTTGCATTCTATAGTAAGCCCCTGTCCAGATACGCTCCCACCGCCACCTTAGACGCAGGCTGCAATGAGCCGATGGATAAGAAAGTCATGGTTCAAAAGTAATGTGCTTCCGCTGGTCAGTTCTCACTTCGACAGAGTCTCTCTACGTAACAAGGCATCACCTGAATACTGATCGATGATCACTGACGACCTTCAAGCTCTGAGACTATGTGTTCTAGAATACGGTATACACAAACTTCTCTTTGGATGCACCTCTCTAATAAGGCTTCACAGAATTTCGAATTCCTTTCTACAACGTCAGCGTCTCTGTAGCTCAGGTGTCTGCGTTGCTATCTTTCGTCATCGTGGGCGCCTGCGGGTGCGAGGCGTGAACATGTTGGTATGGCCTGGGACACGTATAGCTGGTCTGATCAGGGGCCATTTAAAACAACATGTCGATGTCTGGAACGACGACATATTTGCGATGGAAATGGACTAACAACTTCTTACCAGTCTTTTAGTACTTACTGTTCATATTCCAGGGTGGAGGTCACCGGTAGAGTCATACTCACACTCGATCCCATGTGAATGAACCGCAAGGCCAAGCAATAAATTAGGGATAATCAACAACTGTGTGACTACTATGTGACTCGTGAAGGGATTGAATGAAATACAGAATGATTAACAGAGATATTGATATTGTGCGATATAAGTAAATTTGTTGTACGAACAGACGTCTGATGGGTATGAAATATATACGAATAAAATCTGAACAAGACCAATAAAATAGAGACGGAAAGCCAATCTTAATGCGACTCCACTGGTGGTTTCTGCGCTTTGATCTCCGTCATGCGATCCCTAACATACTTCGCCATCTTGTATGTCTGGTACAAGCCCTGAGTGTGATCCGGCTTCCAGTCAACAGGTAGGCGCTCATGCTGCATCCAATCGTGCAATGCGCTAATGGTGACGCCGTTCTTCGCCGCGTCCTTGCCACCTAGGACTCCGATAGCGATGACTATCTCGCCTCGAGCTATCTCAGCATGCACACCATCCAACACTCCGCACTCCACTTCTCTCTGGACACGGATGTGCGCGGCATCCTCGAGAGTCATTCTGTCTGGGACTACCTTCCCTCCTTCTGCACAAAGGGCTTCTAATAGCTTCCTGTTCACCTTGCATGGAGCATATTCGGCGCCGTTTCTGTCGTCTTTGTGAACAAGTGATGCGTTATGCTCGATCATGTTATGACGAGCGAGATCTGAGAGCGACAAGGATCTGTATTGCCCGAGTAGGAGCATGCTGCCAAATGACAAAAGGCAGGCCAGCACTGTTGATATGCGGTAGCCATTTTTGAGTCCATGAACGAGGTCCCATGGGCCGATGTTCTTGCCATCTCGTGGACTGGACAAATCATCGTTAGTTCTTATGTATCGCAATTCTGGAGATTTGATACTCACATATAACCATGGTTGGCGAGGGCATTCAGCGCCGGGCAGGGTGATCTTACGTCCCCAGCCTGTGCTGGGCAGAAGTCATATGTCTTGCCCGTCACTGGACAGGAGCCTTGTGGATGTTCATGTGCATGTGTAGAACTATGGGCGGACGGATGTGATTTTGTGGAAGTACTGGGGGACGAAGACATGATATGTATGTCTAGTGAGGTATGAGAATCTGCAGGTGTTCTGATTGTGGTATGTCTGGTGAAGGCCGAGAATCTGAGGATGGTCTTGGTCAATTCGTGGACTGCTTGACTTTATAGGCGTCAAACGAAATAAGGGGAACAGTCCAGGCGAGGTATCGCAAGGGTGAGGGAACAATTAAAACGCAACTAGTTCCTAGTTTCAGCGGAGACAAGGAAGTTGCGATATCTATCGGACGCTTATATGCGAGTGAAGTAGGGGTGTTCCTGTAGTTCCTGTGTGAATTTGTGACTCTGACGTACAAACACAGATAAGTTGATGCGTCCCTCGGTTGATATGACGATCACATGCTGGCTGTGGTTTAGTTCGATCGGCAAGGTATGAAGCAAGCAAAGTTGTGATATCCGAGTCGGCATCAAACATTGACTCACGTTCTTTGGGCGGTGCCGCCACTAGTATGGACTGGATAATCTTGAAACCACTGCCACTGTTGCGATGCCCATGAAACTCGAGCTTAAGCTCGCAAGTTTGCAGGGCGCTTGATGAGTTTTAGCTTGGCTGTGAATAAGTTCAAGGCGCCCAGTGTCACGCATGTGCAGATTTGACACAGCCTTAACCAAATTAGTTCATCGGCATACTTTCGCTTCCTACCCTGAGGCATTCAAACTCTTTAGCGGCGGCTCAACTCCATTCAACATCAGTCCACCAAGTTGCCCAAACCAACGTTCGGACCATGCGACGTGCTCGGGCCCTTCTGCAATTTGCGCCAAAGGTATTAACTATTTGAACAACTGGCCGTGTTGAACGGTAACGCTGGAATGAAATGTTGTGATGCGCCCAACTGCGAGGCACCGCTTTTAATTGTAGATCATATCCCTTACTCAGGTATCATTAATGTCATCAGGTCCGTCAAAGATTGTGATGGAGGCTGAAGCGCTGATATCTGGGATGGGGAGGTGGCATGCCATGCCAGGGCAATGGGTTACTTAATTGGGAGCCCTGGATTGTCTCAGACCGTCAAACGTGTCCATGCACCGCCCTGCATCTATTCCCATGACCTAAGTACCATTGATTTGCGCGCGTACATATGAAACTTACTTGCCCCCGGACACAGCATCTCTCCGACCGGAACTGATATCACCCGATCATTCTCAAGATACTCGAGCTATCTGTGAGTTATGTGTTCTGTAAGCGGTACTGTAACCTTTGAATTCATTAGGATATAAAAGTCCTGTGGGCTTTCGTCCAAGTTATACTCTGGCAGACTGGCACTTCTTCACGCGAAAGCACCTATTTTGCTTTCTTTTGCGTGCGGCCAGTTACCTCATCAATATTTTTAGCCTTGTCGAACTTTCTTTCCTGGCAAGATTGGAGTGGTCCATGGCCTTCCCCATGGGCCAAGTCAGAAACGGAAGAAACTAGTTGTGTGCACACTTTTCCTGAACCCAAAAACACAGATATGGAATAGGTCAGTATTCAAATTCATTATTCGGTAGGCGTCATGCGATGCCCTTCGGTGCCAAGATATCTTTGGCATGTGAGTCAGTCTACAGCTGGTCACAGCAAGTTCAGGTACCGGTACCATTGGCAAATTTGACGTAGTCTGGCAAGAGAAACTGAACCGCAATGCAGATAGCACGTCCCAGAACAACGGCAATATCTGAACGTGAAACAGAGCACCAGTGCTCAAATCTCATGTGAACCAACATCCAACAAACATCACATAAAATGGATGATGGCTTGCGGGCGGGTGCCATCATTGGTAACGGGCGCGGATGTTGTGCTTGCCTAAGTATAACCTGTGTGATAGAAATGTGGGCGCAATCCAATGCTCAGTGCTGTGGTCATCAAAATATCGGGATATCCCTGAGCGGACTTGTGTATTTGACATGTTCCCGTAGAGGATTACTAGCGCGAGGAACGACGAGGACGACTCGGAGGTGGCCCGGATCTCGCATGATAGATATGAATTCGGTCAGGTAAGCGGCTCTTGCCGGTGTGATCTGATCCCCGTCATATGAACTTCGGTTCAATCCGTTGGTCTTGTTCAATCGAACAAGTATACCAAAAGCGGTGTAATTATAAAAGCGTGGTTAACAAGTACGTTGAACCGAATCTCGATGCTCGTCGTGCTGAGAACTGAAACCACTGAGCTGTGAGACACGTTAGAAAGCGTGGTGCATATCAGTTGAAACACCCACATAGTGAGCGTCGACGATAACATGTTGTCAATCGGAGAAACACCAGGTCCGTCAGCATCCGCGGGAAACATGACTACTCTGTATCAGTCTCGATGATCGCCTTGGACGTAACCCGTCGTTTTTTCTCTGGGCATGGGTATATCAAAACAAGCCGCGGTTACAAGGATGAGACGTTCTCACTTGGTGGCCTCCGTATACGCACGGTGGGTTGCTGAAGAAATGCATCCTCGTACATCTCTGAGAGTTCAGTCAACACGGATGTACGAGATTCGATGCGACCAATTCTCGATAAAGCTAAGGTGCGGTGTTTGATATGAAACCGGAGAGAAACTTGCAAAAAAAATCAAATACCGATGTCAAGAGTTTTGGATGAGCCATATATCGAAGACAGGCGCTTTTTTGCTGCAGAAATCACGCTTGCGAATTATCGTCAGTATAAATGGGCCTCATGAAAGACAGTAACTTACGTTCTGTCTAGAGTCATACCCGAGATTAAGACTCTGAGAACACCCTCCCAATTAAATGCCCACATCCTATTTTGCATACTATCTGCTACCGCTGGCCGCTGTTCAAGAATGGAGTCCAAAATGCAGACCAGGACCTTAGTGGCTTGCCAGACCAGAGCTTGGAGAAGACTTGGAGACAAAGGTTCCAAGTCCTCCTCATCGTTTTCCTCCACATTATCCTGAGATTCTGATTGGTGGTTGCGATGTGCTCTCGATAGATATTTAGTTTTGAGCTGACGAGCCACCGCCTCAGCAAGAGATTTGACTTCGTCTTCAATCCGCCATTCCGGAATAAAGCAATCTATCAAAGGCCAAGTGGTCCAAGTATCTCTTGCTTTCAACTTTCCCTTGCCTTGACGGATATTTTCAAGATCGACAACGCGTTGGGCACTAGCATGGCTGTATAGTTGGTATGTAAGATTAAGCAGGTGATTTGTCCGGATTGTCTTGATTAACATGGCATGTTCTGTAAGTTCTGCATGGTGTGCAACAGGGACTCGCACCCTCTTCCGCGAGCGCTGTGATCTGGTTTGCATGTTAACTGTATGTTGTCTCTTATTTTTCTCTGTCATAAAAATTAAAGTTGTTTTCCTTTGTTTACCTGAAAGTCCTGGAGTCTATGACATCATCTTCAACTTGAACGTCGATGCCTTCTGAACGCAGCGTCACTTGCCTCTTGCAATCATCTACCAACACAGAAGTTTCGTGAAACTACACTGAGCTAGCTATGGACTCGTTACCACTCGATATTTCTCATCCTGCAGTGCAGGATTACCTTTCCCTTGTACGGTGTGTAGTATAGCCCCTCTCAATCACCATCATCGATACCTACTGATTAGCTGCACAGGCTACAGGTCCTCACCCCTTTATCACTTTTGATTAACATCGCAACACTAGTCGTGTGCTCAGTCATTGTCAAGCCTTCAGCCGGTGAGCATCATGCTTGTACTTCATTTCGTCTCTCATCTTGTTGGTGTCTACCAGGGTCCATTATCAAGTCACACCCTACATCGATATCTCCTTCTCCAAGCCTCATTTCTGCCTACGTCGTCGCTATATGCCTTGGGCAAATAGGCTACTGCACGTTGCTGGTTGTAGCTAGGAAGCCGGAGACGAAGGTAAGCAGCGCATTGCTAGTCAGCAGTTGAAGTGTCCTTAGCACACGCAGACAACGATAGTGAAAGGAGTTGGTCTTTCCCTCGTTTTTGCAAACTGGTTGATGGCTCTTTGGGCCGTGTGTTGGGTACGTCGCATATCATAAACCTATTGGACCTCACCGTCATATGTGACCAGGTCCTTGAGTTTTTCTTACTCTCGACGATACTTCTTGGACTTCTGGTTCTATGTTTGTTATATTCGAACATCGCGCTGCTCACGTATCATCCTCCCACATCCTCGCGCCCTCTCGACACGGCACTCATTCACGCTCCACTGCGTTTCTTCCTAATTCTTCCTCTATCCTTGCTGTTTCCCTATTCGCTCTTGTAGGAGTTTTGTTTTCGAGCGAAGTTGCATTACTGATCGCGTATGCCTTTAAGCATCACTCTGGGGTTATATTATTCACCTAGTAACCCCGAAGATTACGGGCGCTTTGCTTGGCCTGGATTTGGGGTCACATGCGGTGCAAATCTCATTGGCCTATTTGTGATAATGATGCGCCGTGATATCGTATGGGCTGTCGCAGCTACTTGGATTTGTGTCAGTATATGGACCGCGAGGCCCAAACCTGCTCCTGTTTATGTGAGCTAAATTTTATGATGATTCTACCTCCTACCTCACACTTGTCTAGATTACTGTTATTTTGTTCACCGTACTCCACCCTCTGGCTCTCATTGGAACGCTCCTCTACCGTCGACTTACCAAGCGAGAAGGCAGAATTGCACTACCCACCGATGAAGAGCATGATACAGGAGCACCAAACGGGCATGGTCCGCGAGAGATAGATGCCGAAGCTCTCTGGGGCTCTGGCTGAGCAGCGGTTAGATTCTAGTTCCCTTTCCTCTCCGCTAGCGCGTTACGTGAAGGTTTTAAATGGCCTGATTCCCGTTGGTTACATACTATATGGACCCTTTCCTCTCCGTTAGGACGTTACGTGAACGTTATATTTGGTCTGATTGTTACATACTGCACACACAAAAGACGAAAAAATAATAGGGTTGCAAATCGTCAAGGACTCCTGAATGAGTGCACTGTGCAGATAAGGCGCCGCACGTGATTAAAATGTCATAGACGCGCACACCATGGTCCGACTGAGTGACCTTTTACTTCCATCATCGATAACGGCGATAAAGCAACGCCCCACTTTCACCATGGCTGTAAGACCCAGACCGAAAATTCGTGCTTTGCTTATAGACATTTCTGGTACTCTGATGATCGGCTCGACGCCCACACAAGAAGCAGTTCAAGCGCTTGCTGAGCTGCGGCGCAGTAAATTCCCGTTCAGGTTTTGTAGCAATACCAGCAAAGAATCCACCTCAGTCCTTCAGAAGAGAATGCTAGATGCTGGTTTTGACGTGCAAACTGGTGAATCGCAAGAACTATGGACGAGCCTTAAGGCCGTACGGAGTCTTATCCGGACGAGGGGTCTCAAAAGGTCAGCGATCCAAAACTTTCAAACATGGGATACATCAAGCTGAAGCCGTTCCAAGGCCGTATTTCCTGTTGTCCGAGTCCGCTAAAGACGAATGCATTTCCGGAGGACTGTACGATCATAGTGCCCCCTATGACGCGGTAATTGTGGGCTTGGCGCCTGCGTTGTTCGACTATGATCATCTTAATTCTGCATTTCGGATTCTTGTTGGAGAACATGATTCGCAGAAGCGGTGTGGTGAGGATCCGAAGGCATCGATCCCCCTCATCGCTTTACACAAGGCGAGATACCTAGAATCCTCGGGCCATGGGCTTGTACTTGGTCCAGGACCATTTGTCACCGCTCTTGAAAATGCTACAGAAAGGGAAGCGGAGGTGCTCGGCAAGCCAAGTAAAGCTTTCTTCCAAATGGTGATTGAGAGCCTCGATTGTGAGGGTTATGATCCTGAAGGATGCATCGCCGTGATTGGCGATGATATCCGAACGGACCTTGGTGGCGGCGCCATAGACCTGTGTCTGTGGAGGATCTTAGGTATTGAGTTGATTTGTTACAATTTGCCGTGCCAAGCGATTATTAATGGGGATTCTCAGTGAAAACAGGAAAATACCGAGCAGGGGATGAATGCAGGGAAGGTGTGCAACCTCCCGATGAGGTCTGTGATTCGTTTGCAGACTTTGTCGATAAGTTATTGTCTGCACATGTTGCGGAGTGTTTGAAAGAGTAATTCTAGTGCTTTTTCACTTTAAATAGGAACTTCAACGCTGGTGCTTTGCTAACGCGGTACCGATCTGAAGCTCAGATCAGAAGTGCCGAGCGTGTTTCTGGTGTGGCTTTCTATATTTTCAGTTTTTGAGCACATGGTCTTTGATACTTGAAAGATCGTTTTCCCACTGATCTCGGATGGGGTTCTGCATATCGGGAAAAATCATGACCTGGTTGTTGTCAAGATCGATAACGCAATTAACCGCAGCGACAATCCGGCCATCCAACCGGCGGCAACCATGTGCCCTGTCGATCTTAACGGCGATTTCCCACAATGGTAAGAGAATATTAAACATAGCAAGCCACCGCGCCAATCCGAAAATCAGTGTCGCGGTTGAGGGGGATGCAGTAGTTAATTTATAGACGGACGGATGTGATTATTTTTGACGAGTGAACGGATGCTATGGTTGTATGATTTAATGGAGTCAGGAAACCAACGTGCAAACCGCATGACCAAGAGTCCGCTTTGAGCGCAAGTAGATCGGAAGGTGCCATGTTGCGTCCGACGTATACGTAGTACCGCGGATGATCGATGAGTCAAGAGATCCTCTTTAGAACATAAAGAACGGGGGTAGGCGAGGGTGGAGTGCATCGACGGGGACCGACAGTATTGTAATGGGGGTGCCGAATGAGCTATGTCCACGGATGAGAAGCACGGTATCACCTCGGAGAGTTGCTGCTAGTGATGTGGACGTAAGGAGGGTGATCAAGGACTGAGTGTGTATTGAGGATGTGTATAACCGAAGAGAGACGGGGACTAAGTTGTATGGTACGGCAGGAGAACGGAGACTAATTGAGGATAGGTGTATTACATTCTCAGCTGACGATAAGATCGGCGGATAAGTCAGGGATTGGGGGCGGAGATCACTGGTCAAAAAGGGGAAAAGATCATCGTATATAATAATGTGGTAATTCAAGTGCGGTTAGGCGGATTTACTTACGAAAAAGAGTGACCGGCGGCCGATTTAATATAAGAAGAGAAAGATTTTCAGGAGATATAAAATCATATAAAATGAGAAATAATATGATATAATATATTATCCCGTTTCTGTACATGGCAAGGCTAATCTTTTCACTCTTACTGCGGTCCACGGTCATGCTCGAGCCAATCCTCGGTGCTCGCATCAAAGCGCCCTCGGTCCTTCTTTAGAACACCGCATTGGCCATCATCCATAACAGGCTCTTCCCTCATCTATATAAATATCCTTCAAATTCCTTTTAGCTCCCAAAGCCCACAGCAGGTTACTACCATCGACTGCGCTTTATCATTACAATGTCTCACCAGAGCGTACCACTCCCTAGCATACGCGACATCTTCCCTGGTACGCCTCTTTTTAAAATCCTTATACTCACAACTCACTCTACATCCAGAAATTTCAATTCGTACCTCTCAGGACAATGATACCTCTGTGAGTTTATCCCCCCCAACCTTGCACTCGTCCATCCTCATCATATCCACCAGGATCATATTCGCCCCACTTCTCGCCACCGCGGTACAAAACCCTATCGTACGGGTGATTCCGCAATTCGCAGTCTTCCATCACCACCACCATCCAGTACAAGCTCAGACTCGGCTTCAAATCGATTGTCCTATCTCACCCCAGACAATACACAACCTCCCGCAGCTTATTCCTTCAACGTTCTCCGAGCTGACCCTCTCGCTTCCTCCCTCCAGCATATCGCTTCTAGCACCAAGTTGCGTACTCGTGCAACAAACTCCTCTCAGGGAAAATCGGGCTCGGGAATCGCCAATGGATCGACTCCGGTTTTCCGCGTTTCTATGGCTCCCTTCGTACCTCCTCGGCAGTCACAACAACGCCAAAAGCACAGGTCTCCGGGCCCTCTTTACAGTTCACAAATTCCACGCGATACCCTACCTAGTCCATCCCAACACGTTCAAGATTCTAGACCCCAGCCTTCATCTTCCGTATTGTCCTTTTCTGTATCAGACCCTCCTAATTCTGCTTCCACCGTCATGACAAATGATGGCAGGAGACCTTACCTAAAGTCGTCGGATCATCTAACAACAATGCTGCATGGAGAAGGGCGCGGCAAGAAGCACCAGTGTCCTCATTGCGGTAAGCGATTCAATCGCCCCAGCAGCATGAAGATCCACGTAAACACACACACGGGAGCAAAACGTACGTTTATATCTGATTATCTCGGACTCGTCCGTCTTCAAGACAAATCGTGTTTGCCTCGTTGCATCACTTCTTCTCAATTTGTATCAACACCCACGAAGACACTAGCTGACTTTTCCAATTTTAGCATATCAGTGCCCATATCCAGGATGTGGTCGTGAATTCAACGTCAATTCAAACATGCGTCGCCACTGGCGGAATCACACGAGACTGTCTGCGGGCCACTTGGCTGACATGGATGGCCATGGTGCATGTGATCAATCCCCGTTCCCTTCGGACATCCTGGGGCATGGCCAGTCCCTGGTCTCGCCACCAGCAACAGACTCGGAAGAATCAGAAGACGATCTTTCTGACGATGATTCCCAATACGCAATGGATGTCTACGAGGGCTGCAGTAAAGAACATAAGGAGGTTAATCATCCCGGTGGATCAGGGTCGCAGTCCAACTCGTTTTGGTCACGATCGCCTTCCCCAACCCGGAAAACTACTTCTTATAGTTATCCTCGACCCCGTCCCCCTTCTCATCTCGGCCCGTCGCCATCGCACCCCACGGAATACCTTTATAGACCTTCAAACCCAGCCTACGTGCGCTCTTGCACAGATTCCCGGGTTTCCACAGCCCTACGACCTGCATTCCCCTGTGACACATCAGGCCGCGCGGTCGCAAGGCAGAATGGATCACACTCAAGTCGTTCATAATGCACATACATATATCTTCATTTCATTTCTTGTCGTTGGTCACTGCTTATGCCCACTACATACCAACATGTGTATCTTGATATCACCCAGAGCATCTCACGTTTACATGTAGCATTTATCTTGGATTGCAAACAAAGTTTACTAATTTCACCGGACCACGTGTTACATGTCAGATAATACACATTACAAACGTAGATAGTAAGCAACAGGAAGCACAGCGCGTGATGCGGCTACCAAAGTTGTTTCCTGTTCGCCCTCCTTTGCTCCGCTTGAATCGCTGGCGTCTGCTCCTCGTCCAAGAATCCGACGACATCGTCAAACTGTTCTGCCTCGTCCACAGCGAGCTTATCCTCTTCTGTCCAACCATGCCATAACTCGGTGCCTTCATCGCACAGCTCAGCATCGGTAGGAGGTGTATCGATCGAAGGGTCCGTGGCGTCTTCACCTCTGGACCCATTGTCATCCACAACGTCATCGTCCCGTTCCATCCCTGGAAACACTAGATCCTCGTCATGCTCATCAAACTCAAGAGGAACGGACGCCGATAGACCCTCTGGTCGTACAAGCTGTGGGGAACGAACTCGATTGATCTCTCTTCGGATACGACCAAAACCTTCTCCGACGCCTTCGGCAATATTTGATGTCATGGCGCGGATGGGGATGGGGTTCTTAAAGGACCGTGGCTTCAAACCAGCCCCGTTCGGGAGCATGGGGATGAGAGACCGAGATGAACGCGGGTACTCCATATCGGCAGATATAGCAGACGCTATTGGTTCGTCAAAGGAAGACGCGACTCGTCCCATATCACGAGGCGAAAATCCCTCGACAAAAGACTCTCCAGTGCCTGCGGAATATGCACTGACTTCTACCTCCTTGCGCACGTCCATCTTGGTCCCTGTTATGTCTAGTCGATTGCGGCGAATGAGAGCATGGTAATCTTCGCCCAGAGTGTAAAAGCTGAATTGGTGGGCAAGATAGATAAGGCGAGGATTCACATTCGGCGACCTGGAATATGTAGACAGTTCTGCATGAACAAGAGAGCTAGAAGTAATGCAATCTGCGTCAGCATCAAAGCCACTTGTTGATAGTAGCGCATACTTTGCAATAGGCATTCGTCCAGGAGACCACGCATTCAAACGCTGCACGTGCTTGACTTCGCCCCAATCTCGGTGTCGTCTAAGCTGCCAAGTAGCGATCATGGTGTCTCGTCCATGCAATTCGCTAGCAGATTCCAACATCATTTGAGTTAGGCCAGAAGTCTTGGTCGACGCGACACCGACGCGATTGTGTGGTGATGTGCTGAGACGACCAGTGGCACTAGTACCAGGAAGCGACATGCTCGTCGGCAAGTTGGCTAATGTATATGAAAATGCGCCTGTATCACGAGGACGTTGTTCAAGCATGATACGTCGTAAAGATAGCACACCATCAGAGGGATCAAAGAGAAGAAGATCCTGAAAGTTGGCAGTCTTCCTCGCCCGAAGCGGAGAAGGTTGATCAGAACGACTTGAGGATGTGCTAGGAGACGATGTGATGGCAGATGGGGGAGGCTGGAGGCTGGCAGGCAACGGTGTGTCGCTAGGGAGGAACGTAAAGGTAATTCCCGGCTTGACGCCGCCATGAGCGGACGCCTTGACGGATCTGAGACGCACAAGCGATGACAATTCAACGGACAATGGGACATGCTAATACGATCTGAGCAAAACTAAACGGACTAGGAAGATGACGTTTACTTACGGCTTCATTTGTGTTGCGAACCCTGTTCTCCATATGGCTTCGCAAGTCTGGCTTTCCGCCATATGGATTGATGGCAAAGACGTGTACTGTCGCTTTCCTAGTCCCAAAAGCGACCCACCGCCCATCCGCCGAAACTTCGATCCCATCAATGACGGCAGTTGTCCGACCTCGGCGTAGATTGTACATGTGCCACGGTGAACTTTGTTCAGCATTGAATTGGCGCCCGACGAGCGCGATTTGATGGTCGCCAGCATACTTCTCGGGGTCGGTGGGAAGTAAAACACTCGCCGTAGGCCGGATCTGGAAAGTGCGAACGGCTTGCCCATCCCTAGGAGATACTAGCAAGGAGGTCCCATCAAGAGTGAACTTGAGAGAGGACACGGGCTGGTGCTTAAATGCGACGAATTCGGAAATGATGCGTACGGACGGACTGTCTCCGGACAAAAGGGAAGCCAGATCTAGTACTGTAATATGATAACCCGACGATAGCGTCTCTACTTCCTCTTGTCGGTCTTGGGTATTTGGAAATAGCGCCGGTGACAGAGACGTAACTTCGGTTGGGTCCGAATGACCGCTGCTCGCAGCAGGGGCGCTCCGTGAAAAGAAGAGGTTGCTGACGCCACTCATCACGGATGTTTGCCCTTGAGCCACGCGTGATTGATCTCCCGCGCCCGCGCGAGATTTCGCATACTCCGCAGCAGCGGAATATGCGATTCCACCAAGGGACTTCACCCCGCTGAGGACGGTCCCCCCGACCTTGAGTGCAGCAGCATGAGATATTCCGAGGGTGCTCGACGGGGAGCGTAGGCGCGTGCGAGGCTGAGAAACGGCTCCAACATGAGAGTCTGCTCTAGGAGGCAGGGAAGCATATGCCAAGATGCGATGAGAAAGAGCAAATATGGGGGCGGGGTAGTCATGAGAAGCATGGTTAGTGTTGATGGAGTCTATCGGTGTTAATGATACAATGTTGTTGGTATTGGCTTTATATGGAATTGTTGTGTACGAAGGAAGAATGGCAAGCGAAGAAATAGTATGTAGTTCTGTAAAGGATGCTGAAGAAAGAATGTGTAGAGTTGGTGGATTTGTAGTACTCTGTTGTTTGCTGGTCAGCGACATCTTATAGGTGGATAAGCCAGATACTTACGATGACAATGAAGTGTGCACTTGAAGTAAAGGTTGTTACATTAACAAACGGAAGATGCTTGATGACCTTGTGAGCCCGCAATGAATAAATAGACATCGTTGACTTGTCTTTCGACCTAGAGCTGCACATTCCGTTTATCAGAGGTGGATGTCATGTATCTAGCATGAAATTTAACGCACACTACACCAATTAGAGGCCTGGAACTGTCATATTCACGTTCTCCAGAGGAGTGCGGAGCCGCAAGCACACCAGCAAAGGTAACGGACCCAAAAGGATAATCAGTAAGATTCAGAATCTCGGACACTGATCCCAGGATTGTGCAGTCCCAAATCTGAAGGCCTGTGGTGTAGCCAAGCAACAGTATACGCCTGAATGATGCGACATCTGTTATAAAACTGTCTGTTGCTGAGACATGAATTAGCTCACCGAGGTCTCGAACCGTTCTCAATGAGGGTGTCCCAACGGGACCACATAATAGAGTCGCCTTCAGCGGCGGTAGGGTAAGTTGTCAGGGGCTGATCTCCTGAGAACGCGCTTTCACAGTCCTCATCGTCAGAGCCGAAGATAGCATGTTCGTCGTCGTCTGCTGAGTCAAGTTTGGCGCCTGGTCTCATTCTCCAATTCTGCTGATTTCCAATTGGACCAGCGCCAAGAGGCTTCCTGGCGGTTGGAGAGACAATGGGTATCTTTGGGCTTGTGGAAGCGCCAGGAGGGGCCATGAAGCTACCAAAAGAAACGGGCCTTGATACCCGCGGCGGAGAGGGTGCAGATGCAGGAACAGGAATGGAAGTTGGCACGTAGTTGCGCACAGCGCGAGAGAAGTTCTCAAGCATGGTTGGCTCGCTAGGAAAGTATAAGTTCAGCTGTCTTGCCTTTTGTGTCTAATGAAGGAAAGGAGTGGGGAAACGAACGAGAAGATGATGTACAGAATGCATGCGCACGTGGTGATCTACTATACTTGTCGATTGAATATATCACAACACAGGAAAGCTGATGGGGCGCATCAAGGCGAGGATACGATAACCAGGGAAGACAACACCATGCTGTGTAAATGCCCCTTGTGTTTCCCTCAAGTATGAAAGAAGTGCGGCACCCCAAAAACGGACCGGTAGAGACAAACAAAGAGAGAATGCTCACCGGGCAAGCACAGGAGATCGGGTGTGGCCAAGCGCTCCTGGTGTAAACGTAAAGTCGTCTTCTGTTGGAGGAAGCTTAACCTCTGAACGCACAGGCGAGGGACGAGACTCGGGGGTTGCCAGAAGAAGACCCCCATCATGTTTGATAGGTGAACTCTCATCTTCCATTGCTACCACTGGAGGAAGTTCGAGGTTGATTTGAATGATAGGAGAATCTGGAGGTCTGTCTGGCTCGACAAGGGGGGACTGTTCCGTAGACCAAGGCGGAGAATTTGAGTCGACGGGAAGGATAGCAGGAGAGTAATTATTAACAGGAGTACGAGGTGATTGTCGGGTTGCATTTCGGTTCTTCCTTGATGGCATTAAGAGATGTGAATGAAAGAAATAGTCCCAACTGTTTGGACAGATAAGAAATGAATTGGTAGATTCACAGACGCTCTGTTCTTGTAAATGAATGCAAGAACTAAACAAGAGATATATAAGAGAAAGAGATTTGAAAGAATATAAGAAATGATTATTGTTCGAGTCGAGACTGCTTTCAAGGTGAGTTACGCTGGTGATGGCTTCTGACGAACAGGAGCCTCCGTCTGATCCCCAGCTTCCCAAAGCCGAGTCACTAAACCTGACTTTGCCTTTTCCGGTCAATTGACGCCACCAAAAGTCCAGAGGTCCACCCGGTCCATCACCCTAGTCCACCACGGTACACCTCTATCTCTTTCTCAGTCGATGAATACTAGTACCCCTTCCACCTTTTCTCAGTTTCTACGTTCATATGCTTATACCCCCCAGACATCTTCTTTGCTGAAGAGAAAACCCTTACCTGAAAATAATGATTGTCTTCCAGTGACTGCTAGAAAGTCTCGAGCTTCGAAGAATACCTCACAGCATGTCTCTCATGCCAAATCAAAGCGTCGCAAAAGTGAATCAGTAACTACCACTCAACAGCGCGCACCCACAGGAGAGTCTTCTATCTACTTTACGCCCTCAGGCAAGGGTGTTTCGACCGATGATTCCAGTCGCAAAGGTCCTCGCAAACTACTTGACGCGGTAGAGATTGTTGTCAAGTCTGCGTCTACAGTTCCACCGCTATCGGCGCATAACGATTTACTAGAGGTGTCGAAGAGGACGAAAAAGAAGCGCAAGCTCGAACCTGTTGATTCTTACCATCGTGAGCTACCCGCGAAGGACGAGAGTTCTGTAGAACCATCGGAAGCGGAGATGAAGATTCCACTCACCAAAACATGTTACCTGACACCTATGCCTGATGAAGTTCGGTCTACACTCCAAACCCTGACGCTCCCCACCCCATCTTCCAGACCTCGAAAACGTCGCAAGGTCGTGCCTTCTACCGTATCACTCCACCAGTCTACCGCTTTATCTAGTAAATCAATGGCTACATCTAAGGTAGCAACGCAACAAACGGACGTCACCCATAGAACAAGCCCAGATCCCATCACACTGGTAACCTCGAGATATTTTTCCAATGTCACACAATCTGGCAAGTCATGGGTGCCTTCTTTTTTACCGTCGGAGGACCTCTTCACACACGAGAATATGCCTGCGTTTCCGACATACCGTCAAGACTTGTTTAACGATCTTATCGGGTACATCGCGAACGCGAAGCCAATCTTGATACAGGGTACTTCTTCTCCTACATGTCGTAACAGTATTTCTCATCTATCTCATTTCAGCCGCTGTTTCTGATAATCCCTGGCAGCTCTTGATCGCCGTCAAACTACTGAATGTGACTACTGGCCGATATGCTATCCCAGTCTTTTGGAAGCTCATGGACCGCTGGCCAACCCCTCGGGATATGATCGAGGGTAGGCTCCAACTTCTCGATCCCATTACGAACGCTGACGGTCGTCTCGTAACAAGCTGATCATGATGAGCTCGTAAATATTCTGCGACCGCTCGGCCTCTACAACAAACGGGCAGCATGGATGAAGGAGATCTCTCAAGAATACATAAATGATCCTCCTACTGACGTTCTTCGTCCATCTAAGTGCCGCTTAGAAATTCCTGCGAGGGTAAAAATCACCGCGCCATCTTATGTGAATCCAAGAAAACGCAAACATTACGGATCCCCTCAAACGGCCCGTAAAACGACTATGCCATATCCGCCAACACCCGTCTCACACTATCCAGGCGTGGGCCGATACGCCCTAGATTCGTACCGAATATTCTGTATGAGCCACGAGAGCGAGGAGTGGAAACAAGTCATGCCTGAGGACAAGGAACTGATCCGATATCTGGTAGGTCCTTCCTATCACCACGTGGTCGACCTCAGCTCTGATCAGATTTTATCTGTAGCGATGGAAGTGGGCCTATGAGGAAAGGAAGATTTGGTATCCTGATGGCGTCGGCGTCGTTAAAGGTGTCGATATCCCTTATCTGCTCATCCTGGTCGACGAGCTGATGGAGCAACTTGAGCCTGATGAATTTTGGGGTCCGACCGATTTTATTAGCGGTTGAATGAGTGATGGCGTGATATAGATGAGTCGATTTATTACTGTAAAATTTGCTTAATCTAGTGTACAGGGTACAGTTACTTATTGTACATTCACATAACCTCCCGAACGCGAACAGGGTCGATAAGAGATGATAACGAGCGAAAGTAGAACCCAATACAGCCGTAACGAATTTCTTCCGCTATGGCAGCGATGTCGTACCTGACCGAATGCTGACATTGACACGCCGCGCTGGCAAGGCCGACACTGTCAAGCTGCTACTAACAGATGCTACGCCGCTGCCAAAGCCTTGTGTGACGAGCCGCTTTGCCCAACGTGCTCAGGGTTATTCAGGGACTTGTCCCACCAACTTGTCAACGGGACTGCTTCGCCGAGGACATAGACAAGCGAGAACGATTTTCAATTACAAAGCCAGCAGATAAGAAACAAATGAAAATCTATGACGTCCCAATTAATCAAGGAACTATCATTAATTTTTGGATGAACGAATGATTGGTCAACTGATCCAGTTCCCCCCTAATCCAGCCGTGAGTCGAACTCGCAACTCGGAAGACAGTGCACACTGGCAGTACTGCGCTGGAAGATCGCCTGCCTGTAAACGTTTCGGCGGCGCGATCTCATTGGACGTCTCAATTTAGGACCCAGGTTTCCCGCGAGCTCTGTTTTAGGAGTCCTTGGCGAGGAAAGGGGTAAACGACGCTGCCCAGGATGTTCAGGGCCTGGGCACGAGGTAGTAGTCCTGGGACGTGGCGTACGATCTTGCGAAACACGCGCAAAACACGAGGCTCGTCGACGCAGATTTATCCCAGACTGCGTGTAAGATCCAGAACATGCACGACATGCGAGACTGGCGAGTGGAGCGCTCAGGACCGCAGCCATCACGCAAACCTATCGCGGGAGGCCGGGGGTTTTATTCTTGGGCGCACTTCACTAGTATGTGTTGGCGTAAAACTGCATTAACCCGATTTCTCGCTGTCTACTTTGTTCAGCGGCGCGTGGCTCTCCATGTGAATCGTCATCGAAGGATGACAAAGAGCGCTCTCGGACATGGGTATCCGACCATAGGCTGTCGATAATCATTGGTGTGTCTGGAGTTTGATACTTTGCTTGGGGATCAATTTGTATTCCATAATCGTTTTAGTTATTTTACTGCTGTGTTCAGAAATGCATTTGCCAGATCATAATTTCATCAGATGGCTCGGATGAACAAAGAACAGACATTTGGTATCTGCAGATCTTCTGATCATCATCTATCGCAAAATTTCTAGGGAACCTGTGACCATAAAAAATAGTCTAACACGAAAATCAATCACCGCGCCCTCGACTCGCTTGGGATCATAAAATTTCAGCGACCGCAGAATAACCAAGCAACCGAACCGAACATAACAAAACAAGAAATACCCGCCTCGTAATTACGCCCTCCCGTACTTGACTGCTGGGTCGACCCAAAATGGTCAAACACCCAACCGGCGGACATTCAGCGGCCGAACTGTGAATCATGAGAACAAGAACAAAGGCGCAAAAACGCCCTATCGAGGACAACAATTAGTCAAGTTAGCAAGAAGCAAAGAAGTACATGGAATTTTAATAAATGAAACGACCTATCAGGGTTTCCCTGGAGCATTGCACCCGAGTAAGGAAAGCGAAGGCGGGGTCGATGGCTCAAGATGGCTCATCGCTAGTACTGCCATCACGAATCGAATCTCCGTCACTTAGTATGGTCTAAAGCCCCTTTTGTTTTTACAGGGGGGATGTGTCTCTTTACGGCGTATACATGGCAGCTGAGATATCCAGAAGTTATCTCTGGGAAAGCGAGTGACAAGATGCCAGCGAATACGATGATGTTAGGGCGGGATACGGCACGCATCCCCGCCGAGGAATACCGTCCAGCCATCCAACCGGCCCCTTTCCCATTCCACAATAGTTTGTCACGAAGATTAACGGATGGCGTCCCGTCAGCCTCGAGACCTCGACACGATAAAGTTAGGAAGCGAACGTACACATCTCGATCGGGCAGAACTAGTTTTCAGCCGAGCTTCTTCATTCGGTCATATCGTGTTAGAAAAACTATCGGGAGGACGGGTTCTTGGACATCCGGAGGTCACTTGATGAGAGCTGTATCGCTCGTCAATTGAATTCCTTGGGAAGTGTTCTTCGTTTATTTGGATATGGGGTGAGACAAGCGGATATCGTGAACTTTGAATAAAAAGTTTGTAAGAAAGTTCTGAATGCCATTTTTCAATCGCATTGCCTCCCCGCCAGCGCGATAGAATCGTCCAGGCTAGGCCACTGGCGCCAGGGCCACTCACAGGATCCGACCGTGAATCGCCCAACACCAACGCATAACGCACGCAGCAACAGCCGATCAGATAACACAGAAGCAAACCAGCGGTGGGAAGGAACACCGCCATCGAACGTACGAGCGCCCATCACCACGGGCCACGGCCCAGTTCGTGTACATGCGCCGAACACGAGGCAGACGACGTCACGTTCGGGGCCCCAGTCCAGAAACAAAAGTCGCATGCACGTTGGCACATTGAAATATATATGGGATTCGAAAATTCTAACACCAAAAAGAAACGCTCGATGGCACGGGGTTGATAACGAAGCCTTCCTGAACAAGCAATGGACCATTCTGAGCGTTGACTTATGAGAAGTCGCGGGATGAAACGTGATGCATGCGGCTTCTGAAAAATGAACTCATTTATGTCATTGGCAGTGATGAGAGCGTGAGTTGAGATGAAGGCTTTGACTGATTGCATATGGATTGGGCTCCACAGCGCGCCAAAAGCGGGAAAGCGTTGTCGTTGCGTTATATTACTATGCAATGCGCATGCGGCGATGCAGCGTTCATATTGATGTGCATGGCTGCGTAGGGTTTGCCAAGATGAGGGGAAACGGGTTTGCTACAGGAACCAAGAAGGCGAGCTTGCGGTGTTGTCGCATACCTTGGATAAGTGGATGCTGTATTTAGATAGAAGGCACAGCAAATGCGGGTGGGGCAAGTAGATGGATTTAGTACAGCTCTGTGATCCTCGATCGAGCTCAGGGGTCATGTGCCGTGCCATACTGGGCGAAGATGTTCGCGGCTAAGATTGTCGTTTTTGAGATGTCGTGTATTTGTGGGTGAAGGGTGGGTGTAATGTACGTACACATGGAGGGATGTATTCAACACCATTTCAACGTCATCTGAATCAATTATTCCCCACAAAAAGCCTAAACATGATCAAAAACATTGGACCAATTATGTAAAACCCTACGCCCCTTCGAAATTTATCTGAGCGGGGCGCGCCTCACATCGAGCCCTATGCACAGAAGCCCGCACGAAAAAGAATTGACGTGGGGTAATACATCGAGACGATCTTCGCTGCTACTCGTGCGTGACCCCAAGGCAGCTGCGCAGGTCCCAATCCAGGGACATGAAACTATAAAATCTCGTAATTCCTCGGGTTGAATGAATATCAGGATTTTGTGAGGCACTCGGTAGCAAAAATTAGAGAAGTAGCGACGATGTCGGAGGCTAGTGCCTGTGTGCATTAGAATGGCTTTGCGCTCGGGGTGTACTGGATCCCGCAGAATCCGAAATAATCCAAGTCAGCTGAGATGCGCCTGTTTAAGTTAGATTGACATGTGCTCACGTCGTGATCAATATGAAGCATCTTCATGAGAGGTGAGGCGTCAAGATCGGCAAAGGCATCGATGTCATCAAAATTGGGAAAATCATAGGCAAGAGATTGGATACCGGTCGGCACTGTGCGTGTTGGTATTCGTCAGGTGGTGGATGGCATTCATGACCGCGGTGCCGATGAGGTTGAGTTTTGAGTTCATCAGGATCATCCGTGGCATGGAAAATGGGACGATGGTCACATCAAGTAAATCTAGCTATCAGTGAAATTCTGTTCGCATGCAGCACGGGCATAAAAAGATAGGAAAACCTAAGGATTGTCGTATTTCTGAGTGGCATAAAATTCGTCAGCCATTTAACCCATAGAGCTAGTAGCTTGAAATGTAACCAGTTCAAGCCGCTAGCTCTCAGTATCCCCTCGCAGTATGTAGAATAGCGGTAGAAGCTGCGACTCGGAGTGCAGTAGAAAATGTAGAGAACCGAGATGAATTGGTGATCCAGTTCCCCGTGCATTCTCAGTGATAAATATTACGACTCTAGATCCTTCTGCTGCTTGCGGACGCCGCTACTTAGCTCCCTATGCACTAGACTCGAGCTTGAAAGTTTACTAGAATAGACGTAGAAGCTGGAAGTACCTGAAAAGTGCAGTGGCAAAGAATCAGAAGCAAAGTGTCGAGACGAATTGATCCAAAAACCCGTGCACCGCAGGAAATGATGGAATTCGCTGAGTTTGGCCGCTGCGTACGGCCGCCGCTAGCCTGCTACACATTAGGTGTAGCCGTGAATACATAGCACGTACGGCATTTCAAATTTTGAGCGGAATCCACATCGAAGGGCAAGTTATCGTGATTCTATTGCTTATAGTGAATGGCGTGGACCACGGAGCCTCAAGAACGCAACGTCACTGCCATGATTCAGTGCAAGGTAACTTTCCGGAGCCGTTTTGAGACTAACCATTCTCGATAGCAGCACAACTGATTGAATATGTCGGGGATGAACAACCCGAGGTTTGAGGATGGCGTTTCCTATAGAATACCTCGAGTAAAAACACTGGATGCTGACATTATCGCCGACGAGCGCAGAATCGAAGCTAGGGTATTACGGATTTTGAGAAATTACTTGCGTTACGCCTGTAACAATAATTACACAGCCGCCGATAAGTCAAGAATGGCATTCTACTAGTGAGAGGATGTCGGGAATTTGGTGGAAAACGTTAGTTCACGGAACCTCGAGGAGGACACGAGCTACGAAAATAAATAAGATTGGACATTGTAGTTCCTGGCGTCTGGAGGATTTGGGCCATTAGGGAGGCAATATGCTGTGCCGGTTAGAAAAAAATGAAGATGCCGGATACCAGTGTGGATATGAATGATGTCAGGATATGTCATGAAGAGTAGAAATCGAGGCGTGATGAACTGAAATGAGGATGAGCATGTGGTGCATACACTGGTATGGACATGAACGGACCGCTGAGGGTAGTGACGGAGGTAACGCTGGGGACGAGAGGACGAATGAAAATTTGAAAAGGATATTGTCAGGCACGATTAGACGAATTTGGAAGAAAGATGAAAAGAAAAACGAGGCAAAAAGCGAAAAGAGCAAAGGGAGGTGAAGAACAAAGTTTAAGTTGACGGAATTCTTGAATTCGTCGGGCATGCTGTAGGGGTGCGGTGTGGTTCTTGGGCGGAATAAAAATTGGAAGATACGGACCGGAGTGATCAAGGGCGGGTGTAAACATAGAACATACGTGGAAGCGGGATGGGCGGTGCGGGGCCTCGTGTTTGCCTCGTGTGTTACTGCCGAGGAGAGAAGTTGGCTTGGCCGAAGGGACAGATGAGAGACCGACGGGTTAGGGCGGGAATAATCGGGAGTAGCCGCTACACGAGGCGGGGAGAATAATATAATATAAAATTAATAAATTGACAGAATATTGACAGAATTGGAGATACGGGGGGGCCGCGGTGAGCGCCGACACGAGGCAAGACCCCAAAAGCGGGCGGGATGAAATGAGTGACTGGGGTCTTTGGCGTTAAAACCGAATTAGGGAAATGGGTTTTACTTAATTAAGAAATGATGTGCGTCGGCAACGTTTGTTCTGGGAGTTGAGCGGGGCATGATGTTATACACCCGGCCGAGACTGCCACCGGGGAAAAGGTGACAAGTGACCAACAAATAGTGTGACAGGGAAGGCGTGTTCACCGACAGGGAAACAACTCTTATCAACCCACATTCCAATAATAATGAAACCCATCATGGACCTCCTCTTCCCCCACTAACGCGATACCATGTCTGCAGAACCTCCCATGACTTCCCCTCCACTTACTTCACCAAATGGAATAATAAATAACCATTCCAACGCTCAGCTCGCACATTTACTTCATAACAGCTACTGCGACAATGACAGACTCACAAAAGAACTCGGAAATACAAAGAAACGGTTAGAAAAAGTAGAGCGTCTACTAGCAGAATTTCAGGCCGCAACCGTCAACGGTGCTCCCCTCTCAGGCGAGGCTCGTCGTGTCATCGAAGAAGCTGAGGCACGTGTAGCCCATGCCGATAGACAAAGAGACGAAGCAGAAGCACGCAGACGCGTTGTTCTCGAATCTTACGAAGAACTCAATAAATACCTCGCCGCCATCGAATCCCGTGCCGCAGATGCACGTTCTGGCTTTCAACGCATTCTTAGAGATGCAGGCGGTCATCTCGTCTTGACCCCCATCCCCAATCAAAATCAGCATGATCATAGCCCTTATTCCGCCAATCCTAGCATCACTGTAGAACCCCCACCTCGTTCATATAATCGATCTCATCATCGTTACACCTCCTCTTCACTTAGTTCTTCTGCCCTTCCTCCAGGCCCACTCCCTCCTCCACCATCCACTCGCGGCGTCCGTCCTCGCTCAGGCAGCTTCGATGACCCTTCTTATCTTATCGCACAACCTCAACCTCCCTCCAAACGACCACGTAACGAACGCGGAGAATATGACCACAGGCCCCCCCTCTCGGTAAGTTCCCTCTCATACCACCTTTCTATCTCCTCACATTCCCCAGGCTACCTCCATGTCACGCGGACGCATCCCTGACATGGATCACCACTCCCAACAGCTTCACCAGATTCAACATCTCAATCACCACCTTAGCATTCAACCTACTCATAAATCTCACTCCCGTTCTAGCAGCCACTCGAGTATTCGTGCTACTTCGCAGGACATCGAGGATCTCCTCCTTGACGCTGCCACTGACGAAAGGAGTGTTTTAAATGCTCGTGATCAACAGCCACAGTCTCCTCGTGCTGTCTTGGCTGCCCACCAGTCAAGGAATATCCCCGTAGGTCCATTAGATCAGCCTGGCGAGCTCAGGACCTATCAAACACATATTTTTGCCCCTCCCGTTACCGGCGCCCCCCAAAAGAAGGGCAAACCAGGGTCAAGTGCAAATATTAGTGCGTCCCTTTTTAATAAACGGATCTCGAGTTGATGACGTAGCGCCAGCTCACAATGGCTCCCCACTAACACCTCCTAACGCCATTGTCACTCCCATCGCACCAGTTCCTCCGCCTCCCGTTCCCCCCACAACTTCGTTCCCCCCCACTAACTCTATTGGTCAACGCATCTGCCGCCAATGTGGTTTACCAGGGCGCTACAAAGATAACAAATGCGTCGAAAAATGGGGGCCTGGGCCAGAAGGGCCTGGTACTGTGTGCGACCGTTGCAGAAAAAAAATGAAGCGGGTGGAGCGGCGGGGAACGACCGATGCAAATGTGGCTGGCAGTAGCAACGCTAGTGCAGCTCGATTGCACCGTACAGATACCATTCCTGTTGGTACGATCACTGGGACGCAAAGACAGGCGCAGACACAGTCGCAAGTTTTTCCAAGCTCAGCATCTTTCGTGCCGCCTGTACTTCTACAGGACAAGAAACGCAGTGGTGGGTCTGCAAAGGACCGCGAGAGAGATCGGAACCGTGACCCTCCCTCCCCGCCTGCGATCGCTACTCTCCAGACCACAGACGACGAAGACCCTGGACGAAGACGACGGGGTGCGGTGTCCTCTGGTGGGTGAAACATCCTCCATTCTATCACCCCTAGTTGACACACACCTCTCAGCGCAACATCTTCCTTCTCCCCACTCCGACCCCAACACAGATCCAGACGCAGACGGCGAAGGTGATGCGGATGTGGACGCAGAGTTGAGAGAAGCAGCTGATGCTGCAGCTGACCACCGCAGTGCGTCTTCGACTGGCATGAAGGAGGAAGACATGGAAGTTGGGGAGTAAGCACATGTCCATTACAGCGGAGGCCAACAGAAAAATTCTTGAATACCCTAGGCGGCGAGAAGATAAATGCTGACATTCCTGCGCGTTCATGTGGGTTGCGCTTCCTTGATTGGTGTCCTCGCTCCTAGACTCCGCTGTCTTACTATCTCTCTTAAACCTCCGGTGATTTCGCTATCGATTATCGTCCAGTCAAATCTCTTTCTATCACCTAATGCAAACCATCCAATCGGATTACCCCACACCCCAATCATATGTTTTATCCATCCTGGTCTCGCTGTCTGCAACTGTCGTCCCCGTGCTTTTTTTGTTTCATTTTTTTGTATTTTTCTCCTGTTTCATGCGGTTCATCATCCATCGTTTCATGCTACCTGTATCAATTCAACTAGTCCGTGTCGAGTCGATCAGTCCGCGTCAAGCCAACAGGTCTGCTTTGTCGACGCCGTGCATCACACATACCACTTACTCGCTGTATCACAAATTTTATGAACCGATCCGTACTCACGCTCCCCGACCAACGTTGCGGCAGTCAGGATACAAATGTTTTACGCGATGCTTGCCTGAATTTAATGTGCGTTCGTATGACGAGTGTCTGATGGTTAAGCCTTCAGCCTGGCGGTGTTCGCACGTTCGGCTGCAAGGTGCGTGCTTGAAAGCCTCGTGTGTCATCCTCTGAGTTCAACCAGTGTGTATATTGATAGTGCAGCACAATTTTAAATGAGGTAGAGGTCCCGTGACGGGCTATTTTGTAATGAAAGCACTTCGCTGATTTGAATCGGCGGATGTACTTAGTAACCGTGCACAGGTTCAGGAACTGGTTCGGTGGGCTTGTGGAATCAGCTGGGATGCATCAATTGATGGCGCAGCACTGTTTGCACGCTTGCAGGCGGATAAGAAGCCACCGGTCTTAAAATCGAGTCGTGAGATATGTAATGGAAGCTGCAGAAACTCACGCTGTTCTTCCTCAAACAAGCGATCTCTGGCAGAATGAGTTGGCACTGTTGGCAGCCGCGTTAAACGTTCGAAGGACTTCATATCATCCGAGTCGTGGTGTAAGGCGACTGGTCACGCGCTACGACTGATTGTATTTGCACTTGTATACGAACTTTCATTTTACATAACGTTCTCATTGTCAAGATCACAGCATGACTGGGAGGCAAAACCTTGGCTCACCTTATCACCGTTGATATCGATAACTGATCTACCTCAGAACGTACTGATTGTGATTTTTATGTCTGCCTGTGGAGGATATTTCTCTTTTTGAGACGAGTGAGTCATATACTCCGTGAACCACGTTGAAAAGGCTGCCACGCACCGCGAGATACGTAGACATGTCGTGCTTTGCATGCTATGATAGGATCCATCGACTATGTCTGGCGCAGATCAGCCGTCTCCTTTGACTTACCACAGGACCCCCAAAGGCTTCACTCTCAAGCAATAACTTACTTCGTGATGCAGTCGTCAACGCCTTGAAATGAAATAGGAATCGAAGAGATCTCGACCTTTATCCATAAAAAGCGTTTTATACATTTCCCGATGCGACACGTTTATGGAGGATCTGCGCATGCGGAAAGTGGAGTAGACGATGGCTTTTCAAGTCGAGCTCGCGGACGACAGTGGTGAGCTTCCGATGGTCTTTGCATAGTATCGGTCATGCTGCGATGACATTTCAAACGAAATTTCGCAGTCGCATTCAATGCCATCCGGCTTTTCACGATCGAGTTCGCGATGATCACCGTCAGTTCGAGAATCGATGATGGTTACGAGTAAGTTTGTCACCCGTTTGTTTGTTTCGTTTACTGCATTCTGAACATCGAGTGCATATAATTCGGTCAAGTTCGAGCGTGGTTGTTTACTACAGCTCCCAGACGTTATTCATGCAGATAGGTCTCGCTCGAACGGATCACGAAATGGAAGGCATGATTCAATGGTACGGTAAAGTGCATAGAACCCGTTATGACTTCAACGACTTATGACGTTCAAGAATTGCTACAAGCAGTCGTTTGTCAGATGTTCCGCTTCGATGTGTGTCGTCAGGCTAAATCAAAAATTTCATCAACGATGCGTATGTAGACACGCTTGCTTAGGAAACCATGTTGTTAGCTAACAAACTACAACTGTTCGACTTACAGAATGCGCAAGCCTTCGTCTGCGTACAACGCTATTGTTAACTCTCGTATTGACTTTCGCTCTTTTACCTTTTAGACTCTGTATTGCCTTCGTGATCACCTGCTTACAGCTATGATGTCTGGTATACGATTCTTGTACAGTCTCTGGTGAATGACACAACGGGTCATTCATAACGCGACAAGGACATTAGCAAAATCGCTCGGGTTTTATGAGGCCTTGACTGGCCTAACAAGGCCATACGAGGTGGCTGTAGACATGGCCCATTGTACGAGGCTCGCGAGCCGAAATACTCAGGTCGAAAAATGCAACGCGAGACTTGTACAAAGGAGGGGTTATTATAGACAGGCGCCCCCATGCAAGACTTGAGGTGCTAACACGTCAGGTAGTATAGTGCAACACAATTCAGGCCAATCTATTAGCTTCAGCATAATACTAAAATACAACCGAATGTGACAAACGACATGTGCGAGCAAAAGAGAAAGCATAAGTGCGCATCCTCGATGGATGGCTATGTATAGTGAGGCGGCGGTCGGGGGCCTCCCGACGAGCCCCTGTCGGGGGGATAAACGGTTCCCACGGGTCCGTCCCTCGCAGATCAAACCCCTGTCTGTTCGAAATCTTGCGTCAAAAGAAATGCGATTTTTAAAAGTTGCGTCCGGCAGGAATCGAACTCAAGATGATTCAGAATCTCGGGTCCATCTTACCGCCAGGCTAAGAGGCCATGATGCGTAGGGCTTTCATCGAGCTTGTATTCGCCTTTCATTTTCGCTTTTTCGGCAAAACTCGCCGATGCTTCGAGGTTCATACAATCGTCCACGGCTTTCATCGATATTTCATTCGCCTTTCATTTTCACTTATTCACAAAACTCGCCGATGTTTCGTTCGTATTTCGCTCGTATTTCGCTCGAACGACCGCCGATCGACCAGCCAAGACCGGCCTCGTCTCCACTACGGCTAGGGCTACGACTTTCATGGAGATGATAAAATATTTTCAAGTCCAGCGGATATGGTACATACCCCGAACGCTGGGTCAAAGATATCTGTGGTCACTTAGCCTAGTGGTCAAACCGATTGATATTGGCTGCGCATGCCTGGTTGAGAGTTCAAATCCCCTCAGATGTGATTTTTATTTTTTTTTATTTTTTTATTTCTGAGCACCTGATCAGTATGATGGTTCAGATGTTGTGCATGTCTGAACGACTCGGCGCCGGCTCTTGCCCATATGCCGCTCTCCAACTGTCAGCAACATTTACATCACAATGATGTCATCGCAGATCAACGTATGGACCCCCAGCCTCATACGCCATCCCCACAGCAATCAGAGCACGATGACCCACCCCCTTTTTATCCCTTTCAAGACCAGACCCAACAAAGCATGCCTCTACTGAATTTACCCTACCCGCCCCCAGTGTATACCCCAATGAAAATACCCTGGAAAGTGTTACCGATGCTCCGACACTTGCTGGAGGTGACCTGATTCCCAGTTTGATCACTGAGGGCTTGTCGTCTAAGGAGATCGGTCAAGATGATCTCTATGCAGCCAGCTTCTCATGCCCCTATCATTACTCTGGGTCCAGGATCACTGACATCATTCAGTCTGTTTGCCAGGATGACGTCCCAAAAACTTACGATATGACACCCCCCCATCGGCGACTTCTGGAAATCTCTGGATCGTCGCGACATCGAGGTCTTCTCAGAAGCGTACTCCAGCGCTGAAATGGTGGAGACATATGCAGAGATCAATGATCTGCCTTGTGAAGCCGGAGATGACCTCGAGCGCATCGTTGCATCACTTATGTTCTGGTCTGATGCTACACATCTGGCAAATTTCGGCGACACTTCACTCTGGCCTTTTGATTTGTATTTTGGCAACGAGTCAAAGTATACTTGATTTTGGCGAGCCATGTACACATCAGGTCTACACACATTGCAAGCATCAGCTGATGCAAGCCATATGGGCTCTACTACTAGATGAGGACTTTATGCCTTATGAGTATGGTATGGTAATCTAATGTAGCGATGGGATCACTCGTAGAGTGTTCCCTTGATTCTTTACATACTCAGCCGACTATCCAGAGAAGTAAGTAATATTATTCATTCTTGGATGCATGCATTTAATGCTTCTCAGAGTTATTCTCACAGGTATCAAGAATCTCGGACAATGCCTTTGTCCACGCTGTCTCACAAAGAAGGACGAGGTTCCATTGATGGGAACAAAAGGTGGATATGAAACGTCGGATCAGATGTATGTGGAAGGATGACAGGATACACCTCCGAGAAGATCGATGACACGCGAGTGCTCATTTTTCAGTTGGGCGTGCCTGTTGATGGGACTCGTGTCAAGAGTATTCTTAATGAAAAATTTCTGGTGCCCACTCCAACTTCTTACTGACTGATGATATTTAATACATAGAATTCATTTTCTGACAAGCTATCACCTTACGGATTCAACTGTTTTCACATGTTTGTGATCAATGAACTTCATGAATTTGCTTCAATTCACACATTTAATGCACATTTTGCATGCAGTTGGTGGAGATGTAGTCCAAAAACTAAATGAACGGTATGTATTTTAAATTTTCCCATACATCTACTAACAGATCTTAATAGATATCGTGCTACGCCAACCTTTGGTAGAGGCACAATAAGAAAATTTAATTCAAATGCATCCTCAATGAAATGCCTATGCAAGAGATTTTGAGGATCTTCTGCAGGTAGGTGTTGGTTCCAAGTTCCTCGATACAGTTATTGATGATCTGGTTTTATTTTTAGTGTGCGCTTCCTGTCTTTGAGGGCTTACTGCCAGACAGCCATAATGTGATGGTTCTAGACCTTCTGTTCGATCTGGTGACTTGGCATGGCTTCGCGGAGC